GTCCAAGGAGGACCCACTGTGGATGGGGGGTTCCTCTGGGGTAACAGATTCCTCAGATGTTCGATCAGATCTGGGGTATTTGGAGGCCAGGTCAAAACCTTGAGCTCTTTGTCCCATCCATTGGGTCATTCCTGAGCAGTTTCTGTGGTGAGGCATGTTGCATTGTCCTGCTGAGGGGACACTGCCATCGACAAGTGCCATTGCTTGCCATGAGGGGGTTTACTTGGTCTGCAGTGGTGTTGGGGTGGGTGGAGCATGTCAAGTAGCATCCACATGTATTCCAGGATTTCCCAGCATTTGCAATGTAAGAAAATGATCAACGTTATTCACGTCACCAGCCAGTGGTTTTAATGTTATGGCTGACCGGTGTAAATGCTTACAATGACATATGTCACACACATAGGCTATGACATAGGCTCTGCGTGGAGCTGACACACAACTTTAAATCTGCCTATAACGTCATGGGGAAAAATAGTTTCACACATACAAGTGCCTGTATGAATCAAAAGGCAGCTAATCTGGAACTCCTGAAAAATGCAGATGCTGTCGCATTAACCAGGATCATTGGACATCAGCTAAAGCAGTTTAATCCTTTGAAACAAACAAACAAACAAACAAACAAGCAAATAAACACTGTATTTAACAGAATAAGCACTTTAAAGTTGGCTTCTGTCTCTAAGCCATGGTTTCAGACCACACTGTTGTAGCAGTGCAGCACTGATTTGAAAAAGTCAAGATCATAAAGTAAACGTCTTTGCATTTATTTGATTCCTAATCAAGAAATGCTGGTAAGAACAGCTTCATCTTGTTAATATGGACTTCAAAACTGTTTTAAAATGCAAAATAATGGAATTTTAAACAGACGATTAAAAATACAGTTCATCACGATAAACTTTTTTAAATTCAGCAATTGATGGCAGTTTGAGGAATGGTTTGACAGTAAAAACATCTTTGTTAGAATCCTTCTTTAGTGGTGTTAGTAATGATGCTAACCAGGAACACTTCACCAGATAGGCTCATTGTTATTATCCACCCGCCTGCACTCAATCACTGTAGTTAATCCCAGAGCTTTTTGAATCATGTCTAGAAAATGACATGCTACTTAACATATTATCTGGTAACTAGTGAAAGGAAAAGCATGCAGATGCCTCTGGTGTAATGGTATAAGAACCATGGATATGAATTTCCTCTCTCTTCACACCCTCTACACAAGATGACACTAATACTAATACTACTAATTGACTTGCAGCACAGCATAATAAAACTAAAAGCAAGAAAAGCCATCTGGCTGACTCATTACAAAGGCCTAATCTTTTAAAGTTAATTAGTTTGCTTTTTTCCCTCTGTATGAGACAAGGGGAAATTTACAGTACTGTCAAGGATAGTCATTCCTCTTACTTCCCTGTCCACCTGCTAGATTTGAAAACAATATTTTTAAGCTTGACCGAGAAACATGTGCATCAGCCAAATCCAGTACTCAATTGTACTGAAATATTTGCATGGTGGAGGAACATTCAATTGATTCAAGTGCTCAGAAATTTATAGAACATTCCCTTGCAGCACAACCCCCCCCCAACCCCCCACCCCCGCCCGCGCCCCCCCATCCCCCCCACCACCACCCCCACCCCCACCCCCCGCCCACATTGGAAATGCAGCTCCAGCATTATACAAATAAATGAACAGTGTGTGTGGGTGTTCCTGTGTGGGAGATTTTGCACTATGGAGCACAGCTTTGAACGTTGTGTGTTCATGTCTATATTTTCGACTGCTGAAAATCCCACATATTTGACTCATGTAACTGGCCCTGCTGCAGCCAGATTTGGATGCAGCTTACTGAAGCATGGCAGAGAGGACAGTATGCAACTCTTCAGTATCTCAGAAATGAAGAGAAAAGGAAAGCCATATCTCTCTTGGAGGAGTCAAACCAAGAATGCTCACATTTTAATTATAGTTTTAATCTGTCATGTCACACAACTGTTTGGCAGCCTTGCTACTACCAGTAAAGATACCAAAAACATGAGTACATTGTTTCTTCTCTTTGGTACTTTTGTATTGAAGTGCACTGGACACAGCAGCCTGGAGGTGTCACATTGGACAGAGAACATCAGCTGGTACTTCGATACTAGTGATGGCTTCATGAAGCCTCATAAAGCGTTTTCTTTATTTTCTGAGCCCACTAGATGGCACTCTTGGTTCTTAGGATCTGCTACTGGTCCTGGGGACAATCAAAAACATGTTTTCGACAAAGATCTCGTCAGGTCTCCCTTATCAATTTGAGCAAAGAAACACAAGATGATAGACCCTAACCACCTTCGCAAAACAAAGACTGGAGCAGGATGTTTTACAGTGGTAAGTTTTTATTTTTTAGCTGTCTTGTATTTCAGATGTAACATGGTAACTGTAATTTATCTAACATTACATCATGGTAACAACAGTGTGTCCATTGACTGATTAAAGTTGAAAACGTCAGCTGCAAAGTAAAACAATTTCTAACAATTTAATCAATTACTACATTACGTGGAAAGAGTAGCACTCATCTGTTAAATGCAGCGGTGTAAAGCATCACTCTTTTTATTTATGCAGGCTTATCTAAGATCAGACTAGTGCAGCGTGTATTGGGTATTAATACCAAAGTTATTATAAATTTCGCTACTAACACATTCGCAGTAGAACCACACAGGTTTTAACTCATGAATTCAGATATTTCACTACAGCAGACTGAGATGACAGGTTTTTGTATTAACCAGAGACAAATTCATAAAAACATTCAAATGTCTTAGCTGGCATGTTTACTGAAACCATTCTACTAAAATGTAGCTGCATTTTATAATCATCTCCACCTTTTGTTTCTAATCTACAATATGTACAAGGTACCAATGTAGGTTCATAGTAAATAACATGTTTCCTATTTGTTTTATGTAATGATGTTGTCTCCTATGTTTTTATTTGCTCACTTATGAAACAGCATGTCTTATCTCTTTTTTACTTATTAGGTTTTTACAGAATGAACCAGGTTCCAGGTCCATGTATGATACACCATTTAGGCCTGGAGCCTAACTGCTTGAATCCATACACCCTGCAGAACAATCACAACATTTACAGGTATGACAATGAACTAAAGAAGAGTGAGTTTTATGACATGTCATGAGATACAACTGTGTAAATTCAATTCTGAACCCTAAGGTTTTATTATTCCAAAAGACCCACTGATAATAAATGACAACTAAGAATTTCCCCAATAGAGCTTTATTTTTAGAAAATGTAAAAAATGAATACAAAAAAATCTTTGTAAATAATATACAAAAGATACATACATAAATATATACACAACAGAGTTTTATCTGCAATGCTAATAGTGTCCAGTCCTTTCCATTCAAGTATCCATCCCGTCCTGTGTTGTACTCTGGATACACCAGGAGTTTCCTGATCAGGCTAATTGCTACATTGGCCTCCACCTCCCACTTGACTGAAGTGGGAGGTGTGTCCGGTAACCACTTCCTCGTTTCAGGGTCTCTCATACTGGGGTGCCAGGTCCTTAGGGATGGAGATTTTCTGCAAATTTCGGCAAATGGCACTCGGTTCTCCACAAATACGAGCCTCATCAGGTCGTCTACAGTCTGGAAAATATTTCCTTGTGTTACTAAAATAAATGCTTCCCTTTACCCACCTTTCTCTTATATAGTTCAAGTGTTGCCATAACTATTTCTTATTTTTAATCTGATGATATTATGTTGGTAATAAAAATAAAATTATTTACAAATTACTGTATGTAGGGTCTGTTTTACAGCCTTTGCTGGGGGTACAACAAGATTAAAAGAATACATATTTGCTTTACCTTACCAATGTTTTTGAAAAAACTCTGCTAATAGCTCCTAGTAGTATATACACAAAATATGTAGCTTGTGAAATCTCAGATTCCTCTGTAATAACAGAGTCGCCATGGTTATATGTTAAGTCATGAGGGTCTGCTAGCGCTGTTGAAATATCTCACTCTTTTTCCTCCAACTCAAGATGAGGTGTTTTACTTGGTTTGAAACTTATGCCCTTTATAGTAGTGATGGCCTCATGAAGCATTTTCTTTATTTTCTGAGTCCACTAGATGGCTCTTGGTTTAAAGAGAGAGGCTCAAAGAATGGCAATTCAGTGTGTTTTACACCTTTTGTTGAACCAAAAGCGCCATCTAGTGGGCTCAGAAAATAAAGAAAAATGATTTGTGAGGCTTCATTCGGCCATCACTACTTTATAGATGTTGATGACTGCTTAAAGTCCAAATGAAATAATATATATACAGTGTTGGGCAAGCTACTTGGAAAATGTAGTGAGCTAAGCTACTAGTTACTCTACATCAAATAAAGTTTAACTACGCTGAAGTTATCTCCAGTGAAATGTACCAAGCTAAGCTATGAGAAAATGGCAAAAGTAGCTTGCTACTTCCAAAGCTATTTTTTTTTTTTAACTTTATGTCAAATCAGGGTTATAATAAATGATAAGAAAAACTGTCAGCCAATCAAATGGGCAGGCAGTTGAACAGTTTATTATAAAATAACAGAAATAAATTAAAACTTTCTTCCTACTTGATGCATTTCTTTGTCTTGACCTCCTTCAGTCGGCTATCTGTCTGTCAGTAATTAAAAAACAGATATCCTAAAAATATTTTTGGGGGGGACATCAGCACATGAACATGTCCTGCAAATAACACGTGACATCAGTATGTCACTCTCTGTCCTCTCTTCCTACATAACAGTGTTCCCTGTCTCTCAGCCCTTGTTGTGTCTGTTTCTCTGGTGTCCACTGGAAATCCACAAAATATATACAGTCTATGGACGAGGCATGTGAGGGACGTGTCAAGAAGTGCAGTGTAACCAATCAGAAGCAGAGTAGGGCAGGTCTTGCCAAGAAAAGCCAATAGCAAAAGCGGCAAGCGGAATAAACTGAAGGATTAGTATGTGATGTCATGTTGTGATGGTTTGAGGCATAAGTTTTATTTTATTTTATTTATGTTATTTTATTTTTATTTTGTTCAGTTTAGGTTTGCGTTGTTTTTTTTTTTTCTGGGGTGCCAGCCAGGTCTCTCCCCTGGCATGTAAGATTGTCGGTCAAGTTTTAGGTAGTTGAGGTATTTCTGTTTGTTTTTTAGTTGTTTGTTTGTTTTAAATGCAAAACCTTACAAAGGATGTACCATACTAAGAAAATACACCCTGCATTGAGTGACACACAACAATAACATAACACCACACAATAACTGCAATACCAAGCAGAGTATATTATAATGCAATGAAAATTTAAGACACAATATCCACCCCCCCACACACACAGTCCAACACAATAAGAAAAACAAGGTAATCCAACACAAAATTCCACACCAGATTTTCAGTCTCTCTCTTTCTCTTCTCTTCTCACTGTTCAAACAAAAATTAAATTCAGTTCAGTTCAATTCAGTTCAGTTTGTAACAAAAATGTTGCTCAGTTGGCCCAAAAACTCAGAAAGACAAAATAAAGATGAAAAAGAAAAAGAGTTTACTCACAGTCTGGTAATTTTGTCAGTCAAAGTCAGTCAGGAGATCCAGTTCCGGTGTTTCGGAGATACTCGCGACCATGTTAACTGGCGACTTTCAGCCGAATGCGTCTGTGGTTGTCGTGTCAGCTGTTTTCAACCAGGAAGAGAACATGAAGGTGTCCTCGCGAAAACCTCTTTATTCAATTTTTCATTACAATATCAAATTAAAGCTGCAAGCAGCTGTGACTGGGCCCTCGCTCTCCCGCGTCTACGCGGGGGGGCAGCAGCGCGCATCACTGAAGCGGTTATGTGAAAACTCAGAGTAAGTTAACCCTGACGTGGTGTGACGTTTCATCTTCCTACTCCAAAAAACCTCCTATGGGAAGGGTATGTTGAAAATTTCAAGGGGGTGCTTTAGAGGCATTTTGTCACCCCCCATGGGCGACGCCCCTATCAGATGTATGAGCTCGCCATTTTTGACCTGTGTATCAATTTCATGTGAATATGATGTCACTGAAGCCATCAAAAAGCCAAACATATTTGGTGGCGAGGGTGGCGTCATAGTAGCCACACCCCTTGACATAGAGAAAAGCTTTTAATAACTTTTGATCAGCATGGTCTCAGGGGCTGAGGCTGCCGAGCAACCAGGGGCTGCGGGGAGACCCAGAGCAGGCATGGATTGGTGGTGTAAATGTGGGGCTTACTGGCTACTTTATTAGGTACATTTGTGCAATCTAATACAAGTCAATACAACAGCTCTGCCACACATTCTACGTTTACAAAGCTTTTACTTTTTCAGCTTTTGTCAGAAAGGTGATTATTCTACTTTATTATTGAGGTCGTAGTGGGTGGTGTTGGTGTACTGGAGTGCAATATATTTAAAAGT